CCGCCCCCCCCCCCCCCCCCGGCCCCTTTGTCTGACTTAAATCACAAGCAAAGCCTATGGAGTTACAGGATTTATTATTGTAGTGATTATTTATTTGTACTGTAGTAGTACATAAGCATGCCACCCAGAGGTTGCGGCCCCATTAGGTACATGTCAGACGCATCAAAAAGCAGTCCTGCCCTGAAGAGTTTACAGTCTCATGGCTAGATACACTACTACTGAACTCAGGAGATTAGCAGAGCTGTGGATAGTTGGGAGGGGTTCTGAGAGGACTAGCCTATGGCTGCTGGCATGCTGAAAGATAGATGGTGACTCATCCCTGCTGTTGCAGAAACTACAGTTTTGGTTGCCAAAGATTTCACCAGGAGCCATTGCAGAGAAGAGGTGCCAGAGATTTCTATGGGGCCTGGTCATAAGACATTCTGGATAAATAGAACTGAACTGATTGTACAAGAGCTATTTTTGCAAAGTGAAATCTGTTTTGTAAAACTGGGACTTCAGTTGCTGTTTGTTTCTTGGCAGCAGAACATTAATGCCTGTGGACATGCTGCCACTCATTTCTGGCAAGCACTAAGTATGTGGTTTATAATCTGCATTCATACATAATCAGTTTCAAGTTGTTTCTATAGATGCTGAATGTAAAATATTTGGATCAAACAGATTGTATTACCTTACGTAACTTGTTCTCTACCATTTATTTAACAAATAAATTCTTCCTTTGCAATTCTAACTGTCAGCATGGATATCCATTGCTTATTGCAAATTGAAAATTACACCTATGTAGTGCATTCATGGAATAACGCATCCAAATGTAGAAAAACTTAATCAGTAGAACAAATGACTTGTGGGTGGCATTCAGGCAAAGGGGCATATGCATTCTTTCTTTCTTTGTTAGCCCCAAGAAAGGGTTTGATGCAATCTGAAAATACTTTTCTATCTGTACCTTCACAGACTTTTCTTGTCACCTGTATCTGCTATAGATTCTGGGCCAAATTTTATCTTCTTACTCAGTTTGAATGAATGTGCTTCAGCAGAGATTAAATACAAAGTAAATGCTAAGAACCTCAGGATTTGTCCCTCTTTAATATTAATTTTATATTTTGGTATTACAGATTGCTGTGACAATACTTGTCTTACCCCTGTCTCCTTCCCTCTTATCATAACTGTCTCATAATGATTCATAGATTTATTTTATAGCACTTCTATAAAATAGAGAAACACTTTAAAAATAAGCCACTTTATAGAGGTAAAATGACCTGCCAAAAGTCGTATGTAAAGTCTGTGGCAGAGCCAAAAAAAGTGATCTCAGATCTCTTATATCCCAGTTCATTTCCTTAACTACAAAGTCGTCTTGCACATTCTGAAAAAAATCAACTGCTAATTTTTTTCCAAAGGAGAGACTTAATCATTGCAACATCCTCTTAGTGGCTTCCAGCTTCTGTCTCAGTTAATTACTTATAAAAGTAAATAATTCAGTGACTCTTCTTATAGAGATTATATGTGGTTTCAGTGGATCAGTTTTTTCAATTTAAGTATGCTAGGAAGCTGAGTTACCTTAAAGCAAGCAAGCAAGTTAACTTAAAAAAATTATGACATAACTTCCAAGGGACTGTATTGGTACATGGCCATTTGTTTGCCGTAGAAGTTCCATCTGAAACATTTTGTTTGGATTTGACCTCTTCTGAGTCATCAGTGCATGTTGTGTTACTTAGGAATGACTGTTGTTGTATACCTACAGTATAGCTTGCACTGTGGTTTTAAATTGATCTATATGCAGAGTATACATTAATGAAAATGATTTATTTTTTCATGTTTTAATTTCAGGGTCATGAGAGAACCATTTAATGACAAAAAACAGCAAAACATGTAATTATCAGAGTGATTTTTTTTTTTAAGTTTAGTTTATTTTTGAAACATACTTTTATCTTGTTTTCTAACTATCCCCAGAAACAAAATCACAGAAGGCCTTCAGGCTTTAAGTAAGGTGAAGCCAGCGGGTGATACATACATACATGAAGGATTAAAAGAAGTAAGTTTTAATGCTCTCGATACAGTTGCAGTAAAGGTCTTATGGCCATACAGCCTCATTGAAAGAAAAACAAGGCAAAATGCTTTGAAAACAGTTTAATTGCATTTTATGTTACTAGTTCTCACATCCAGCAGTTTAAGATCCAAATCCAGTGATTTTTACTCAGGCAAAGATTGCCTAGGTATGAAAAAGTCACATGTAGGAGATCAGCAATCCCATGTGTTGTACTTTATGGAGATTCTTTTCTATTATTTCTGTGTAATAATGCATGGACCTTTTGCTTTTCCACATGGAATGAGTAATAAATGCAGCAGAACAATTAACTATGTATATACATAATATTTTGTAGTGTTCTTGTTAGTACTACAAAATATTAATATAGCATCATAAATCTACATGTTGGCTTACAAGCACAAAAACAGCCCACAGGCCAAAGTTTTCAGAAATGGCTAATGATTTTGTTTAATTTTGGGTGTCCAGAAGCAGTATCACTAATTCTTGCTATTTTAGTATGAGTTTCATAATATTTGATATTTTACTTAAAGCCTTACACTAGGGAATAAGTGAGAATCTCAGCTTCCTTTAAATAAAACAGAAACAAAAACACGAATTTCTGGTTCTCGTGCTTGTGGAGAAAAGTTTGAAAATGTGATCAGAGCATAAACCTACAAATTGTTTAACTAGAAGGCAAATAAAAAGAATAACTAGTTATTTGTAATATTTCGTCCCATGATTTTGTAAGTCAAACTCATCTTTTGGGAACTGACTAATGAGTTTTGATGGTTTGGGGGTGCCAGTGCTGACCTTGAGACCTCTTTAAAGGGCATGATTCTCACAAAAAGTACACAGTGGGTGCACATATGCAATACTGCAATAAACTCTGGTGTGGTATTGCTCCCGGGCACCGTGTTTACATGTCTGCCTGGGACCACAGCATGTTATGCTGGGTTGGAGCAGCCCTGGCTGGCAGGGGCTCCTGGTGGGGGTCAGCCTGCCAGCCCGGAGCTGCTCTGACCCGGCTCAGTGTGCTGTGGAGGGACTGGCTGGGGCATGAGGGCACTTCAGTGTGGGACTAGCTGGCAGACTCATGCCCCAGCCAGACCTGTCAGTGTCTACATGTGTGTTGCTGCATGCTAAATAGCTCTGCCTTAGGATAGTACTTGTGTTTATAAGTACTAACCTACAGCAGAGTTAATTAGTTTACTGTGGCCTACTAGGGCCACACGTGTAGATTCTGAAACTTTACTGTGGAGTTAAAACATCTCATGTAGACAAGGTTCGAATTACACTTTGACTCTTGGGGGGCCTCTGGAAAAAAAAATAAAAATTGGGATGCCCATGATGATGCCCTAATAAAATTGTAGACCCTCCAGGTTATGATTTTTAAATCTTACAGGGGGGGCTCAGCCCCCCCAAACTCTCTTGTAAGTCACACCCTGCATGTAGATGCTCCCAGTATCTGTCTTCAGAATGCTGTGCCCCCATAAAGGTGTCTTTGTTTGGAGAATTCAAAATGTTGGTCATGCTCTTTAGCCTAAATTAGGGGTGGCTAACCTGTAACACATGTGCTACAAGTGGCATATCAGGAAGGGGGCAAGCAGCACAGTGTGGCACATAAGGCAAAAAGCAGAGCAGCAGATTGGCAGGGCAAAGGGATTGGAGTGGTACTTGGAGAGAAAGCAGGGCTATTTTGTGGCATGCCTACCATAAAGGTTGGCCCCAGTGGCCTAAATTCATTACAGTCCAGTGCCTTGACTTAACTCCCATTAAAGCTAATGAAAGGATTCCGTATTAGTAATGATAAGGTAGCTGTGGTGAGGCCATTGCTTGAAGAAGTAGGTTTTAGAGAGGGATTTGATTATTCTGTGCTTTTTGGATTATGTGAGACTTCTGAATTTATTTAGAAGAAACATCTTGTTGATAGATTCAGAAATGATTGTAAGTTGGATCTTTATTCTTCATTTTCAGGCTAATACCAAAATTGAACAAATGGGGGGCTCAAAGTCTGCTAGTACAATAATTGCACTGACAGATGGTAAATTGGAAGGTCAGATCCCCTTGTATGCAGAAAAAGAGGTGAGTTCCAAACAGAAGCTGCTTGTTACAATCATTTCAGGTTTTTTGTGTATTCATGTGCATATTATGAATAATATATTATCTTCTCCATTCTTTTTTGGGACAGGCAAATAAGGCCAGAAACTTGGGAGCTAGAGTTTACTGTGTTGGAGTCCTTGATTTTAGACAAGATCAGGTAATTGCACTGTTGTCTTTATTACTTATCAGAGCCTTATTACAACTTTTTATAAGGCTGCCATCATTTGTATTTATTTATTTTTGGAACTGTGCAACATTTCCAGAATAGGAAGCAAATACTCATACATACATAGAAATGATGACTGGGTGTCACTGTTTTATTATGGGAGAAGATCTATCAAAAATTAATTTCACTTATTGGTAGCTGTCTCACCCAGAGGGTGTAGGTAAAGTTTCTATTAAAATGTTAGCCAGCTTAGACCACAGCTTGCAGTAGTCATTAAAATAATCTTTGAATTGAGAAGGGACAATGGTCTTTGTAATGGAAAACAAAAGAAGGACTATTGTCTACCATCAACTGAAAGTTAATCTTTAGGTGCTGTGCTCATGTAAGCTGTGTTCTAATCATTAACAAAATTAGTACTAGGGATTATATGCAAATGAAGTAGGAGACTTGTTTTTTAAATGGGAAAGTGTACATAAGGGAGCTTATATTAAGGATTTGGGGACAGGTTTCTTTAATGAAATATGCAGCAGACAGGAAAGCTAAGGGCAAGGGTGTTGCAGGATTCTAGAGTTTCGTTATTTTGCTAATTGTTTCTTTTTGAGACAGAATTTTGATACTAAGGCTGACAGGCAGCACATAACAAATTTGGTGTGCCAAATTATTTGTGTTTTCTTTTTCCCTGAAGCTTGAAAAAATTGCTGATACAAAAGATCAGGTCTTCCCTGTGACCGGAGGATTCCAAGCACTGAAAGGAATAATTAATTCTGTGAGTATTCAGTAATGAGCTGAGAGCCGCCTAACCCACTTCCAACCCCCCCCCCCCCCACTGAAGGAGTGTGTGTTTGGGGGAGGGGGGGGACAGAGAGCCTTCAGCTCTTATTTATTGGGCATAATTTGTACCTAAGTCAGTGGTATCCATATAATGCACTTATCTCCTTACCTTAGCAGTATCTTTCTATACATTTCTGTGGCCTGCTATTCATTGAATTATATATGCTGTGACTCAGAATGGAGTTAGTAAAGTCCAAGTGCAAGGGAATACACATAATTCAAGGAGATGGGGTAGAGATTGACTTTTATAGGTATGGTCTTGGTCTGGTAAACTGGCACTGTTCTTTTCAGAAAAGCATGAAAACAGATGGCTTGCAACATTTGATTAATAAATTATGGTACTAACCATCACTGAGTACAGAAATATGTAGGGGAGTATTTGGGAAGGTTGACCTGAGTTTCTGTTCTTGCCCCTTGTTCTCTCTCTAAATACCCAGCCTTTCAGTTCCTTCTGTTGCTCTTGCACTTGAATGTTGCACCAAAGCATTCCCTCAGTGACTAGTGACTTTTTTTTAAAGGGATGTAAAAGGATAAAAGCAGGAGAAACTGTTCATGCTTTGGATATGATGAGGGGCTTGACTGTATATTTTAGCTGCTTCTGTCAAGTAGACATTTTCACTTCTATGGAACCAATTTACTTGTTTGATTTAGAGTAAATGTTATGTGTTTGGGATAATTGTTAGAATACCGCTGCCTTAAATGCTTTAAGCTCCATATGCTGTTTAATGCAGCTGTTATATTCATGAAGGAAAAGCAGTACAAATTGAATGTCAAATGTAAGGTTATAAATACACTGCAGAATGAAATCCTATTCCCAAGACAGATCCCACTTCTATTTATTTCCGCCCCTGCCCCCTTTTATTTTTTTTAACAAAGGGCTCCACTTATAACTGGATGAATATGAAATCAAGGACCTATCACTTCTTCTCCCTTGAATGATGGGTTTTGTCCATGGAAATTACTCCCTGTTTAACATATTTTCATTTCAGAAGACTCTTTGTATGTTCTAGAGACAGCCAGTTGCCATGTTCAGGCAGACCCCCTCATTTATTTTCCTTCAGAGAGAGCAAGTACTGTGTGGCAAAGCCTAGGACAATGCCTTTTTTCCATGTACTGTATGTTTTTAAAGCATTTGCGGCCAGTTGTTTTGCCGGTGTAATGTCATATAGCCCCTTTGAAGTCATTGGAGCTAAGGTGAGATTTGGCCCTAATTGCTTAGATTGTTGGGTTTCCAAGAATCCCAGCATGTAAAAATGTGGTAAGAGTCAGAGCTTTGGGTGCAGGGAGCCTCAGTGTGCATTTTTCTGTGCCAGAAAAGCTGCTGTGCCCCAGGAGTTCAGCCATGAGGGACAACAGGTGGTGCTTCCATCATTTTCTCCTTCAGCTCTGGTACGTGTGTGTGTGTGTGTGTATGTGTATATATATATAAATATAAAAAACAAAACAAAAAAAGACAGGGATAGGGGTTTTTTGGGTTCCCCTTAGGAGTTCAGCTTACAGTCGGTGCAGTTAGGATGTACAGATCATCGGCACGTCTCCTAGCAGCCATGGCCACAACCTTTCTTTGGCAAATAGAAAAAATTATTTGAGGTTGCATTTGCAGCTGGTAGCCCCTTTGACTGACTTTCTTGGCATCATTTTCCACCCAAGAGTTTTCAACCCCTGCTGGGTCCTCTCTCTTGGCCAGCAGCTCATGTAAACCCAGAGGAATTTAGTCCTTAGTTTTTCAGGGCCAGATTCTTCAAAATATCCAAGGGAGGTCAATACTAAATTGCTGTCAAGATCCAAGCTGTGTTTGGTCTTGTAAGAAAATCGCCGCCTCCCTCCTCCCCCCCGCTGTTTTTATGGAAAACTTTTTACTTTTTAAGAAAGATCTATTCTGGAGCTTAAACAGATTGACTGCTCCTTTAAACTGTAACTGAGCTCTTGAATTGTGTAGATTTTAATTCTGACTTCAGTGTGAACAAATATTTCAAGATTTAGCTTATTGCATATTTCTTTCCATAAATAGACTGGTATTGAGGCTATTGAGTCCCTGTGAAATATTTACATCAATAAATAAAAGATTAAGAGACGGCTGTAGCTATTTGCTGCTCACTACAACTGTGAAACACATCATTCAAATGAATTTGCCATCTTAGCTAATTCAGTTATGTTTTTGCAGGTAAATAAAGAAAAAAAAAAGGATTGGGGATTTGGTGATGGCAAGGTTTTAGAGTTTTAATTTTTTCCCCTTAAAATCCTGAAGTGCCACATTGGCTCTAATAATTTCCAGGCTTCAAATGCTTTGAGATGTAAGCTGCATGATCCGTTGGCATCCTGTCTTCCTCTCTTGAAAATATGTACAGTCAGAAAAAAGAGAGAAGACCAAATTTCAGAATAAATGATCTACTATCACACATCTGGGGTATTGCTATGAAAATAATTGGGGTTGGCTATGATGATGATACCAAAGAAATAATTGTTGAACTTTCTTTCTAGAAGTATTGTTGAATAGGTTTTTTGGAAATATTTTTACTTTAAAAAAATCACTTAAATGGGGATGAGGTTGTTTTTCATCAGAGCTACTAGTTGATGAACACTTTTGAACACCTGATTATGATTATTTTGGCCTCTGCAGTGCTCTCTGCTGTAAGGTATGTTGCCTGATGTGTTTCGTACTTGTTGAGAGTTGTAAATCTATATGGCCTTCTCTTAATCTTTTACTTATCAATGAAAACCAAAGCACAGTTTAGAACATTAAGCTCTTACTTTGTTCTCAGGTGTTTGAGGACTTAACAGTTGTTTGAATACCATTATGATTCTGTGCTAAAAATCTAGAAATTAAGGGCTTGAAGGGACCTCGAAAGATCAAGTCTGACCCCTCCCTGCTCTGGGCAGGAATACTGCTGAGATTCAGTGACCCCCACATGCAGTTACTGAGAATGATGGTCAGGAATTTTAGTGAAGTTGGGGACCAATATATAGAAAAAATCATAACCCAAATTCTGCAGTCCTTACTTAGTTTGGAGATGTTCCTTATCCAAGCAGAACTCTTTATATAGTTAGTAAAGATGTGGCCATATATGTATTTGCCTCTGCTGAATTTCTTTTGAATGATATGCTTCATTTGAAGAAAACAATGTATTTTATTTTTGTATGTTTCTGTTCAGTGATAACTCCCTTACAAAGTTCTGTTAGCCTTTCTGGCACTGTTAATATCCAACTTTACAAAGTATTAAATGAACAGAGTTGTCAGAATGAATAAATCTCTCAGCAGAAAGTCTAGTAGCTTAAAAGAAAAATGCTGAAGGCAAGTTAGTTATCCTATCAGGAATGGTTTACTGATTTAGTCTGGCTGATAATTATGTGGAAACATGGCTTCATGAGCAAGCGGAATGAGTACAGTGGCAGTCAGAAAAACAAGGGCTTTAGAGCATCTAATTTCTTTCACAGTGTGAGATTTTGGCACCGTGTGAAGAGATGGAATCCTGCTTTTTTAATGTGCATAGGTAAAATTAAGAGTTTTCTTCTAATAAAACACCATTTTGTGACATAATTTAGAGTAATAATTAGTTCACTGTTCTAGTGACTGTTTAGCAAGCTGCTGAGCACCCCTTGTGAAATGCTAAGCTCTGGCTGACTATACAGAGAATTTAGAGCACAGAACACTTTTTAAAGAGAGCCATCATATTCTGAGATCTTTTTGGAAGGTTTTTTTTGGGCTCCTCATTTCCATTAAAATAGATGGTTCTGAGACCCTAAATACTTTCCATCTGTGGAGCTCAAGAGCAGTAGGCCGGAAGCTTGGGACCTGACTGCATCATGGACCACCACTTCCCTGGGGTATAGGACATGGAAGGGAGAAAGGGAGAGGAAGATAGCTGCCCATGTCAGCGGGAGGAGAGGGAGAGAGTAGGAAGGGCTGCGGAGGAGATCAATGGCATGGTGCAGGGCAGGGAAAGGCTGATCTACTTGCTACTGATTCCACCCCCCACCCCATGCCACAGACTGGATCCAGTCACTTTAAGGTGCATATGCAGTCCTCAGGCTGTATAGATTGAGCACCTCTGATCTAGATCAAATCTGAATGACAAGTAAAACTTTTTCATGACATAGTCTAAAAATCAAGCTTGTTCTAAAAGAGGAACTGAGCTTTCCTGTTCTGTCCACAACTGAAACTTGTAACACTGTCTGTTGTTTCTGCATTAAACACGCTTGCTGATGCAGAGTCTAGTGAGAAGCAACAGCAGGCTCTAGAGATTACAGCACAGACTTGGGAGCCAGACACTGCTTCCCTTTGAATCCATCTCCCAAGTTCTGGTGTTCATAGAGAAGTTCATGAGCTGTGTTTCCATAACACTGAGAGAGAGCATGTTTTTTGGAGCAAGCAGGGGAATAGGTACTCTTGGAAATGTCCTTTCTGGTTGACTCCACCGTAGATACGCACTTGCACATCAAACCAGTTTGCTAACACCATTAACTGCTGCAAGGATCTCTCTTTTCTTGTGCGTAGCATATGTGTTGTCCATAGATTCCACTCTACTGCTTTACTGCTTTGCAGTCATTTTCACCCTGGACAAGAAGGGGACCAACAAGAAGACAGCCATCTACGTTGCTTTGGTGTACATGGATCAGTAGTCCCTTGAGCTTTCTGTAGTTCATATGATTGGAAAGCTGCATTCCAAACTTTGCATCACTGTAACCCTGTTCCAAAGAGGCTCAGATTTTGCATTTTGCCTGCTTCTGTAGTGTTTCATTATGCATGTTTTGTACAGTTAAGCATGTAGCTTGAATGTGCAGTGTCTTGAAAACAAAATCAATGAAAAGGATCACAATTCTGTCATCAGGGTACAGATTAAAACTCCTATCGTTTTCGTTGCAACCAGTGGACTTTGCCTGGCTTTAATAGAGGGTTAGAATTGGAATTACATGTATTTTAAAAAGTACCACTTA